CGGAGCGGTGAAGGGGCGGAGACCGGCTACAGCCGGAAACGCTTCCCAAAACTGATGTAGTACTGAGGACGCTGCAAGCGAATAAGAAGCAGCCTTGGCTAAACGCCCCCCGGTGCCCTCTGGCCGAGCTTTGATTGAACCCAGGGATGCAGCTTCTTGAGCTGCTATGAGCAGGGACTTTGGTTGCTGAAAACACACACAGGACCCTGAGCTCATCTTCAAGGCTCCATCCATCTACCAGTGCATCCTCACCTACATCAGGGCACCGGGAGTTAGCCACTGGACAACTGAAGCCTTTGAGCCCGGCCAAGGGCTTGCTCTAACTCCTACATGCCCCTGACAGAGCACAGTCCTGTCTAACCACAGGGCTCCTCGGTGCAGCTTTGGGTTACTGACATACTTGTGCATTTAGCTACACATTTGGATATTCTCAGTCAGAGGTTTCTTCGAAATGTGGTTGTTCACATGGAAATGAGGAACCCAAGCCATGTTAGGGAAAACAGCCATAGAGAAAACAGCCATAAAACTCTTAAAGACAGAACACACATAACATTTTTATAGCAAGCTGACCCTGGAAATAAATAGAAGGTTGGGTTTTTTTTCCCTAAACAGAAAAAACACATTAACCACTCCAGAAAAATTCCTATTACCCCTGAAGACCAAGGTCTTCTTCCTCAGGAAGGCTGAAGGCACTAAGGTGCTCCTGTTAGTGTGCAGTCCTGTAAGCACAAGCAACTCCAAACAACGATCCACAGCTCTAACCAGCTTTAAACAGAATATTTACTCCATGCATGAGGAAGATGAAGTACATGATCTCATGAGACACACAGCTGCCAGGTTTCCTTCCTACAATGCAGTACCGAGTGGGACTGTATCTGCTCAAACTCCTGCAGAAGGGATCACTAGGAACTTAGCACAGTTCTCACCTAAAAGTTGACTACAGATTTCTTGTCATTAATGTGTCTCTTCTTAAGAAGTATCACTTTTTGAAAAGGCAATTAAGCAGCAGCATATGCTTTTAACTATAAGGACTGTGTTACTTACCTCTTATACTTCACCTGCTTCTTAGACACACACAAAGGAAAAAAGCCCACAGAGTTTCCTAGCTGAGCAGGAATAAGCCCACGGACTGCAATTCCCCCCCAGAAGTCATACTGTGTTCTCAAACTATACCGCTGAAGTATCACGTCATGAGATCATGTTCTCCCATCATACTCAGAAACCTACCACACATTACAAAAATCAAGATACACAGCTCTACGAAAAGCAGAACATTCCAGTCAGTCATTATATACTGTCACACCCAATAGCTCTCAAATGAGGAAGCTTCCCGTGATAGCACACAAGCACTTCTGATCAGCTATTACAACCCTGGATATATTACCTCCTCAACACAGTTCCAACTAGGAGCCTCAAGGAAAATCTGACAAACAGAACCTTAAGACTAATTTGAACACAACAGGTCAAGGACTAGGTAAAAAAAGGCATTCCTTCTGAGGAAAGTAACAGGAGTCTTCAAAGGGCTGCATTTGCTACCAGCTAATCAGTCACACTGGGAAAGGCCAGCAGAATCTCTCCTATTCTGCTAAACAATGGTAGTGAAAAAACAATTAAACATAGAAAGTATGGCAAAACAAAAACTAGAAAAGGTACATGTAAAGCATAGGAAAAGGAACACAGGGACAGCAGCCCATGGGAAAAGCCTAATTTATTTTTTGTCCACAGAACTTGCTCTTCTAAACAGTGTAGCAACACCACTCTGCCTGACTTCCAGTGTGGATAGCATTCAACAAAAGAATATTACAAGCAAAAATTTACCCATTATAAGGCTATAATCTCTCTTCCAACATTATATTTCTCTATGGCCAAAATGGCATACTCCAGAGAATCACAGCATCTCTTCAGACATGTCTGTATCCTTTGTCATAGCTGTCTGATCACTCATGATTGCCTGTATTGAACGAAGAACAAGAGCATTCAAAGCTGCAGGAGCAGGCACCTGCCAGGGTCCCCCGCCGAGCAGCCACACCGGTATCCTCGCTGCCAGCCCGTCCCCAGGGCCCGCGCTGTGCCCACACCCGCGGCTGGGCAGCCTCGGGGCCGGCTGGGCCAGAGGCGCAGGCACAGCCCGTGCTCAGAGCCGCAGCAGCGAGGAGTTACAAGCCGGGCCCCGGCCCGCTCCC